ATTCTTCTAGGCCATGATGTTGACAGAGCCTTAACATGTCTTTGTATATTTCCGTCAAAAAGAGACTTGTTGTCCTTTTGTCGAAAATCGCTTATTTGGGATCTTAGCATAGTTGTCTTACTTTATGGGAAATATCTTGCAAGAAAGACTTTCTTCAACTCATCCCAAGAGGTAACCGAGTTAGCTGGTAGAGACTGGAGCCAGGCTCGGGCTCTGTCTCTTAGGGAAAAAGGGAAAAGACGAAGCCTTATCGCCTCTTGAATGACTCCATTGTTCTTAAATGTATCTGCGTATTGCAGAAACATCGATAAATGTAGATTAGGGTCATCCATTGACCCTCCAAAAACTGGTTTTGTTGTACAGCAAACAACAAGGAAGGTTTGAGTTCGAAGTTATTAGCCTCAATCGGAGGAGCAGCAATGCTGTTATGTGGTTCTTCCTGCGAAGGAATAGCATAAGATTTGAGCGGACGTGGCTGATCACCCATGTCTGGTTCTTCAACTGGTTCGGTAGGAATAGAAGATTGAGAGAGGGATTGATCTGTACGAGATAATCGTACTCGGCGTCTTCTAGTAATAGAGCATTCAGGTTCGGAAATTGGTAGCACTAAGTCTTAACCTTTAGAGCGAGTGCTTGGCATACAATTGGAAATGGTGCCTTAGTCTCTACAGCGTAACTAAAAGAGTTACGATATTGACTTGTTAGTCCCCGGTAGCGGCGCCAAAAACTTGATCGTGACTTTGTGAGTCTTAAAGAATCTAGACAACAAGTATACAGTCCTATCGCGTGTAGCTTTAAAGATTATCGAATCCCAAGGGACTAAATGTCGAACTACCGATATCTTAGGTTACTACGTAAATCTAAGGCTAATAATGTAATTAATAGGGGGTTTAGGGAACCTAACTGGTTATAATCTAGTTTAGATTCAAGGGAGAATATCGACATGTAATGGTCGGACTTCGGGGATTTAGCAACTCATTGACCTAACTCAGATTAACAAGACAGTTTTCAGTAGGAAGTATTTGTTTGAAAACCCTCTTCTCACACTCTCGTGTTTATTGATTCAGATCCTACGACCAAACCTAAGTGAGTGCTCTCGCTGTTTCAATTAGAGTTTAAAAATAGTTTTTGGAAACAAACAAAACCTGATCAACTTAAAAGCGCTCTCGCTGTATTTTAAGTTGATGCACAATTACCGTTGTCCAGTTATTATCTCAAACTCTCATTTTATTGATCCTAACTTCTATCTGTATTTTACTCTCGTAACAAAACAATTAATATTTAGAACTAGTAATTGAAACCAGAAAATTATTCTTTTTTAAAAGGAACTGATCAATTGGCGTTGCTAAAATCCGTTGGCTATATGACCTTACATACCGATAAATAAATTTAGCCTAGCATATTAAACGATTCAATAACAGCGCAACAAAAATAATTACCATCTAGCAATTTAAATAAACTAAACATTGCAGACAATCCTGGCATAAATAAATAAAGTACTTAAATTAAACCTGAAAATATTACGGCAGAATATTTGTCTGATATCGGATGTCTCCCACAGATCGGGAAAATAAACGGAAAGAAATAATGCGGAACATATTTGGCAGAGTAACAGTAAAAACAGAGAAAAGAAAGTGTGTTTAAAATGGGAATTTAAGGTCCTATTTATAGGCTTGGAGATGCGCAGGGAGTTGAGATATTTTCTCCTCTGGATTTGACTCAGTGTAACGGTCGTTACACTCCTTCTTTTGAGGGAGGGATGGTGTGGCGAGGTGTAACGGTCGTTACACCCCCTATTTTGAGGAAGGGCTGGCGTGGCAGGGTGTAACGGTCGTTACACCTGGGCTAAGGAATGTGTAACGGTCGTTACACCCCTTGGGCCTTGGGTGGATTGGGCCAACGCTTGTTTCTTCTTTGGACTTTCAAGGCTTTTTACTTTGTGATGCACCCAATTTTTCCACACACCCCTCAATTGCATAATTTCTCTTTCTTTGTACGGATTTTAAATACGATTAGCTCGACTTTTCTTGACTTTCTTCGCACATGCCTTGCAAACATCAAATTCCTGAAAACATAGAAAATACCATCATAATACGAATAAAGAGTAATTTAATTAATTAAAATGCAGATAAAATTCATGTAAATTGATCCAAATATTCGATACATTTCCGGTTTATCAGACGCGTTGCGTGAAGAAAAAGCATGTTCCATGACAGATGCCTCGTGAACTTGTGTCTTTAGCTCGCAGTAATTCGACTACTATTCAAGATCAACAATCAAAGTGGCCGACATATGTTTCATTAACAACAAGAATGATTCTTCGGGAAAAAGAGAATGCAAACCAGAGTTCTATAAACTCCTAAGCCAGAGGGAAATTTGTCTTAACTAACTCTAACAACTTTTCTGCCTCACTCTCTCCTATAACAGAAATTCCATTTCTAACAGAATATTGCCATGTCGTTCATATTTCTCTATCGAGGGCTAAGACCCAAATCCAGTATCCTATCATTTAACCTTACCTAACATTCCACATTACTAGGATGATGGGTGATATTCAGTTTAAGTGAGACAAATTTTGGAGAACTAGCTGACTTGGTTGACAGCTTAGAGCTGGGAAGTAGTCATAAAATTCAATTGCTGATGAATGCTAGGTAAGCCTTCAAATGTGTTGGTTTATGTTAGTTGAGGGGTTTAGAGTTAGTTAATGCTGGTAGGCTAGAAATTAGAATTTTAATAGTTTGGCATAGAAGGGCTACAAAGATGTAGGATAAAAGCTTAGGTGGGCACGGTTGTTAAAACGCTTAACTCATAACCATTTTAGACTCTACTTATTAAAATCAAGCTATCTAGCTTATAAATCTGCTTAAAATCAAGCTATCTAGTTTATATATATTTCCTAAGTGCCTGAGGATAGTGATTGCTGCATGAAGGGAATAAATTTATGCGTTCTTTATTCATCAACAATATATTTATGCAGGCGTGTTAGAATCTGGAGTTTCTGATCTGTGAGAAGGTCGGACGGAGGTCAAGTTGCAGCCGAACATACGATGATCGAGTTAATAGGACGACTTAGGTATGGCTTGATTTCAGAAGTTCTTATTATACAGTGCCACCATCTGCATATAAAATAATAAATTGATAGTTAAATTTGTGCCTCTTGATGTTTAATGCTCATTTGTGAATTTTAGTTGCCTTTCTCTTGTGATCTTTATACCTGAACTGTTTTGGTGTGTGTGAATAGTTGATCCAATTGGTAACTATTTGGTGTGTGTTTATAGTTGATCAAGTTGGTAAGGAGTTGTCACATACCAGAGAAGCACCTTTTCCCCTTAAAGCATCAAAGGAGAATTCAGTTATCGTGAAGTCATTGAACACATCATTTCTTAAAGAACCTTAGAAGTTGGAATTTATTGGTTTTCCTTATATATTTTACGATAATTTAGTTTTTAATTTTTTTTGTTATGTTGTATATTCACTTAAATTCATTTTCTTAGGACTCAGAAATCGAGCGGTGAAGCCATGAAAAAACCATGGTATTACAACGATGAACTTTTCCTTGTTCTGGGAGATTAACGCGATGTGTATTGATTGGAATCATGTGTGATAATTTTTATCATCGAGTAATGGAGACACAAGAACAATAGCAGGATTTTCGTTTGGATGCAGATAGTAAGGATTTGTAGAATTTGTGGAAAAATCTACATAAATCTGGTTAGCCATTGATAGAAGAAACACGAAGAAGAAGAAGAAAGAAACAATGGAAAAACACGCAATGTGGAAGCGAAAGAAGAAGATGAAACAATGGCTACCAGAGCTTTATGAGCTCTGATACCATGTTGATGAAACAACAGTAGTGCACAAACTCCATGAAAATGATAACAAGAATTCAAGAAGATAGTAAAGAGAAGTAAAGGTGAAATGATAAAGTTCCTTTATTGAATGAATGAATCGGATAAGAGAGTACAACCATATATTTATACAATAAATACTAACAGAAAAACTAACCGATAATGCTAGGCATCTAAACTATACAGGTGACAATCAATGAGAAGCTAGAATAAACTATTGCTATATTAACAAGATCCCTAGAGTTTTAAAAAGTTATATTTAATTTTACTTAAAAACAAAAACAAATATTAAATTTTATAAATCTCAATATAAATAAATCATGTATTTTTAAAGTTTTGATTTATAAATATCAATTATATTAATATATAAATATAAATAAATATTGACGTTTGAAATCGATGAAATCCTAAATTAATATTTACACTCATTTAAGTTAACTAACACATAAGTAAATCATTTTTATTATTTTGGTTTTGATTTTTGTTTATGTAATAATAATATATTATAAAAATGAAATCAATTTTATTATTGAAGAAAACTATGTACAATTTTATAAGTGTGATTTTTATTATTTTAATAAAAATATAATAAATATGTTTAAATATTTTTTAAAGAATAAAAATAGAAAAAAATATATGTGTAAGAAATTATACATTTATTATATTTTCATTAAAAAATAATAAAAATTATACCTATGAAATTCTATCTAAATATTCTTCTTTATTATTTTATAAAGAAAAAAATACATTTTTATATTTATATTTTTTCTTAAAATTCGTTGTTTGTGGTTACTAGAAATAGTTTTTTTTTTTTAAAACTGAATTTGAAAAATATAAATAAATAAGTTAAGATATCATATGAAAAATATACAATTATTTTTATGTGTTATCGTACACGTGTAACATACAACGAGGAATAATATGTGTTGTTATAGATGGCAAAGCCTTATGTCTACAGATATGCATTTCGTCAGAAAAATGTGTACCCGTATGTTGTAGGATCAAACCAAAGTTTAAAATAATATAATAGAGGAGAATTACGTATATAAACATGCTTAAGTTAATAAAATGGAATTAAAATACCTCTATAAATAGATCTTTGTAGGTTCATTCTTCTTCACAAGGGCAAAGAAAGAAAGAAAGAGAGAGAGAATGGAGTTGATGAATAAGAAGGTAATGATGAAGTTAGCTTTAATGGTTTTCCTCTTGGGCTTCACCGCGAGTGTTGTTAACGCTCGTTTTGATTCAACTTCCTTCATCACTCAACTGCTCTCCAATGGCGATGATGTGAAATCAGCATGTTGTGATACCTGCCTCTGCACAAAATCAGAGCCTCCTACGTGTCGCTGTGTTGATGTTGGAGAAAGGTGTCACTCAGCATGCAACCGTTGCGTTTGTAGATATTCTAATCCTCCTCAGTGCCAGTGCTTTGATACCCATAAATTCTGCTATAAATCATGTCACAACTCTCAGAAGGAGGAGCTCATTAAGAACTGAGCAAGTTTATGTAATGTATCACGCATGTAACTAAACAAAGTCCCTTAGGCTCTGTTTTTAATTGCGTGTATGGAAATGAATAAATAAAATAATCAATCGAATAATAAATACTGCTTCATCCTGCACTTTGGCATATCAAACTCTTTCTTTTACATATCTTTCTCTTCTAGTATTATATTTTTATTTTAACTTTCAAATTATTTACTACTTTAGTCTTTAGTCTTTAGTTTAAGTTATTGCAAAATTTCTATAATACTCTAGTTTATTTAATTTTCTCTCTCTTTATAATAATAATAATAATAATTAGGAATAATTACATTTAATACTATTTTGATCTTTGAAATGTAATAATTTTTTTTTCCTGAAAAATAACATTTAAAAAGAAACGGATGAAGTTTATTTCAATTATTTCAAAAAGGACAAAACAATATTACCAAGAAACTTAATATTACCAAGAAACTTATAAACTAAGTCAACATCTGCTAATATCTAATCGCTAATATTCTTTTTTATCTCAAGACTTTACTCTCTTATAGGATAGAGATGAATGGAGTTGGAATCATGGAAATAGTGATTTCGTGGTGGTTTTCGATACCAAACTTAAGATTTTACTCTCTTATCGGGACGAGTCGCGTATTAGGTCGGTTTTTTAAAGATATTTCGTTGTATTGTTAATAATTATATAAAACATTTGAGTTTCGACCACTTTTTCAAGATAAAACAGTTTGTTCAAAATTATGATCATAACTTGCATTGTAATGAATCGTTCGAAGAATTACACTTTTAGGTGATATAAAACTAATTGTAGTATTTAAAAAATCCAGTCGTTAATAGCGCAGTAAGCCACTCGAAAATAAAAAAGAAATTTTTTAGATGAAGTAGAGAGAGAAGAGAGAACTCGAATGTGAATTTTAGAGTGAAGAACAAGTGATGAAAGGGTCATTATTTATAGCCGTGGATCTGACCCAACTGAAGAGAAAATTGTGGAGAAAATGGAGCGAATCCGATCCATTACTAACCGTTACAAACTTGATCAACAAGGAAAGCGAAATCGAAATCGTGAGAGTTAAGACAAGACTTAGTCAAGAACTAGATTATTAATTAATTAATTAATTAATAATTAATTTGTAATTACAGCTCAACATTATTAATTAATAATAATTAATTAATATTCATTACATATTTAATAAGTTAAATAATATTAATTAATAATATTAATTAATTTTTCATCTTTTTGGATATCAAAAAATTTGGATCAAAGTCCAAGCCTAAGACCGGATCGGACCGAACCGAGCTGAGTCGGTCGGTCGGACAGACGGCAGCGGGCACATTTGTAATATTTCTTGGTTATGTATTCTCATCCATTCACAAAATTGGATACCCTTTGGGGCCCAATCCAATTTTCCAACTTGAAATATATCAACACTACTAAAGTGTGTTATCCCTACTATGTAGAACTTTAATTAACCTTTTCAAATTCACTCACACACTCTAGTTCATACTTGTGCTCATTTATTGTCAGTTTAATGACATTAACTTCTTTCAAGTCCCTACTCCAAGTAAACATCATTCTAAGATTTCCAACAATCCCCCACTTGAATTTAAAAGGTGATTTTAGAAGTACATCAAAATGTTTCTAAGATTGTGCATAAACAAAGTGTCTATGACTTGAACCTTTGTGTAGAAAGTAGGATTCTGATTCAACAAGAGTGACTCTATTATCGTGAACTCTACCTCAGACATCAAACATGCACACAACATTTTCTTAATGTGTATTCTAATAGTTCGTGCTTTAATGGCCCTGCACATGTATCCCGGTTTAGTGAAGGCTCTAGGAATTCTGCCTCGCAATTCCATATGAACTAACTCAAGTTCCACAATCACAAAGGTGATTCTATCAAGAGTACTCTTGTAGCCTAGGTACTCTCTCATACAAAGTATAGATCTCATTAAGATTTTATATTATCTCATCATCTTATTACTTCAGGATTCATGCTTCACTTGCATGATCATCTCATATTACTCACAACTTGTTATTATCCATTGAACCTATTTCTTGGGATCTCCAGTCATCTAGGTCGGGTTACTATCATGAGAAACTTATTTCTTTATAGGCATTACTCCCATCTTCTTGGATGTATTATGGACTTTCTCTCTAGTTAATCCTTTCATCAAAGGATCTGCTAAGTTTTCATCATTGCATACATAATCCACTATAACAACTCCTTTAGAGATACAATCTATGACAGTGATGTGATTTCTTCTTATTTGATGTATTTTACCATTATAATAATGTTTCTCAATTTTTTCAATAGTCACGGTACTATCACAGTGGATCAATACAGCTGACATGGGTTTTTCCCATTAAGGGATATCAGCTAGCAAGCATCTTAACCAACTTGCTTCTTCACTAGTTGTGGCTAGTGCTATCATCTCAGACTCTATTGTAGACTGAGCCAGGATGTCTGCTTCTTTGATTTCCAAGATACATCTCCTCCAGATATACTAAATATATAGCCACTAGTAGCTTTAGAATCATTTGATAAGGTGTTCCAATCTGCATCACTGTACCCTTCTAGTACAACATGAAATTTCTGATAATGTAGGTCGAGATCCATGGTCCTTCTAAGGTACCTCATGACTCTCTCAATAGCTTTCCAGTGCTCGTTACTCGGCCTACTCCTAAACATGCATAACAATCCTACGACATATGCAATGTCGGGTCTAGTACAATCTGTGGCATACCTAAGATTGCCAATGATGCTCGCGGGTTTACAGTCAAAGTATTTATATTTCTTTAAGGTATTCTCCATATAGTGTGATTTATCCAAAGAAATTCCTTGCTCGGATCTCGTGATTTTGATACCAAGGATCACACTTTCTTCTCCTAGGTCTTTCATATCAAAGTTGTTGCACAACAATGATTTCACATTATTAATAGTCTGAATGATCTAAATATGAGTAAATCGTCTATATAGAGACATATGATAGTGCATATACGATTCTCATATTTGTAATAAATGCATTTTTCACTTTCGTTCACTTTAAACCCATTTGATATCATTAAGTTATCAAACTTTTCATGCCATTTCTTAGGAGCTTGTTCTAGTTCATACAAAGACTTGTATAACTTACAGACCTTCTTTTCCTGTCTATGGATCACAAACCCTTCCGGTTATTCCATATAGATTTATTCTTCCAAGTCACCATTTAAAAAATATGTTTTAACATCCATTAGGAGAACTGACTTAGGTGTTTTACGTTTTATTGCAAATGTTGCGGTTAGCAAGAGTCGCCATCGACTTTTCTTTTATCCAATAAGGAAAGACTGAAAAGAACAGGAAAGATCTTTGAGATTATTTCTGAGTTCGGGGGGTAGATTATGAAAAGGGAAGGTATTAGCACCCTTTTCATCCATAGTTATCTATGGGCTCTTAGTTGCTTGTTAGATCACTTGCTTTTGTTTGAAAATGTGCTTGTGGTGTGGATTTTGAAAGTATTTTTAAAACGTCTTTGTAATGGTTCTTGTTTCTATAAGAACGCGTACAAAGTGTTGTTTGGAAAATAGTTCAAAGAGGTGTTTGTGGAATGTGTTTCTGAAAGTGATTTTGAAAAGGTGTCTTTGTAATGGCTCTTGTTTCTATAAGAACGTGTACAAAGTGTTGTCTTTTGAAAATGTTTCAAAATGAGAGTGTCGCTGTATAAAATGTTTTTGTTGTGATCAAACGAGCAACTAGGAGTAACCTACCTACTCAAAATGTCTTAAATATTCTTTTCCTCCTCCTTTAGATATTGCTATCTTACCATTGTCTTGGTAAGAAGCCCCATCGTTGGATGTAAAGGGACGGGCGTGGAACGTTTGTATAGTCATAGTAGGCAACTTATGGAACGTTTTAGCAATGTTATTTAGGGACTAGATCGTTTACTGAAGGCAACATCAAGGGCCATCGAGGGACTACGATCTTTTATCGAGGGTCTTTGCTAAAACGTCCATGTTCGAGGGACATGACTATTTTTCTGAGGTAACAAGTGAGATTACCCTAAGGGTGCATGTATGCAAAGTGTGTTTGATTGTATACATTTTTTTCTTTGATTTTTGGATTGTCTACTTGTTGGTTTTATCTTGCCATACACACCTAATTACTAGTATTTGTACAAAAGTAATAAAAAATGCAGAAAATAAATCCTACACTATTACAACCATATTGAAGTGCATAAAAATATAAAGGCAAAAATAAAATAAAAAGAAGGAAAAATGAGCTCTTTCGATTTGGGGGAGGAGAAACCCTTCGATTCTGCTTCTGCTGGCCTCCTTCGATTGGGAGTTGGCACCAGCAAGTCAAGGTTTTCGATTGGGCATTGGCACCAGCAGGTCATGGCCTCAGATTGGGCTTGGAAGTCAGCAGGGCGTTCCTTCTGGTTTTACCTTTCTGCCTTGTTGCCTTCTTCGATTGGGGCTGGCATCAGCAAGTCATGGCCTTCGATTCTTCCTTCTTCAATTCGGGATGGCATCAGCATGAACATGCATTATAGATGGGCCTAGAAGTAGCATGTTGTGCCTTTCGTTTTCCTCTTTCGTTTGACCTGCAGAATGGGAGTAGAAGCCAGAAGCTTCGTTTCCTATTTCCTGTTTCATGTTTCCCTTTGTTTGAACTTTTGAACAGCAACATGGCCTAAGGTCATGCTGGCATTTGTCTTGTGGCCAAGTTAATTCTTAAAGTATATTTAATAATTCAAGAAACAAAACCAAAAGGATTAGCCATGAAAACATATTGAAAGGGTGTAAACGAAAAGGAGAAAATGTTATATACATGTTATGTTTGAAATGAAAGAAAAAATTACTCACATGTTATGCCTGAAATGAAAGATTTAAGGGTAAGGGTAACTTACCTTGCTTCAGCCTAGAATGTGAGCTGGACTTTGTGTGGTGGCCCTGAGTTCTCCTGGATTCGAAGGGAGGGGCCAGAAGCTGGGCCTTGGATGCTAGATTCGAAGGAGAA